AAGAAACAAACAAACATTTTGCAGGTTTTGGAGATGGATCAGCAGGTAAAGGTACTTCCTGCCAAGCTTGATGACCTCTGTCCCACAGATCAGTATGGTGGAAGAAAACAATTCACCCACTTTTGCCCTGACCTTTGCATGTGTCCTATGGCCAAGGATGACCTCCACACATACCATATAAACATAGACAAAATAAATAAGGTCACGTAGTCTTAAAGTTGTACTTCAGAGTTGTCCCTTCTTCTGCTGAGGGCTGCAGGAATCTATCATAAGAACGCAGCTGGTTATGGCAAAGTCACTACCTGAAGGGATCAAGGAATTCCTTCAGAGGAAGCCAAATTCGAAGGAGCTTTTGGTGTTACTTGGGTTGTTACATATCTGCTGTCTTCTGTTATGAAAATCATGTGTGCCTTCTTAGTTTTCCCAATTGATTTGCCCCTAGAAGTGCTAACAGTATGGACTGATCACTCTTTGGACATATACATTTAAGGTATTTGGAGAATAACCTGGGGAAAGACTTCCTTCTCCACAGCCCATCTGGTTCTCCCCTTTCAGTACTGGAATCAGATAACTTCCTTAACCTCTTTCAAGGATTGACAGTAATAACAGTCCATATGCTAGTCTCCTGATTTAAGGTAAATTCCACAAGGAGACACCACCTAGGTCAGGTGGATTTTAAGTAATAGCTTTACACAATTTAGCTCGGACCCTTCCTTCTTACAGCCTTACTAACTTTATAGACCCCTAACTTCGTACCTAACCACGTCTCAGAATGTAGACTGAGCACATAGACCCACCTTTTTCATATATTAACTGGTTATTAGCACTTTGTTGACCTCCTCTTTTACCATTCCCATTTTGGATTGTAAAAGAAAGCCTGGTAGTCATTGCCTGAGAAAAATTCTTACCTGCCTTTATGACCCCATAGAATTCAAGCCTGGTGACCTTGCTAGATCAGGGGATTACTATTGCTTGGGTTTATAACTGGATTCCTGGGAGACATCGGAGGTATGTAGACAACTGAGAGAACTTAGAGATGGAGAACGGAGAGGGATAAGGAGGATTTTGATCAGAGAGACTGTGTGGACAAGATGGAAGATGAGGGAGAGTCAGATGGGGAAGTACTAGCTGGGTAAGAACGAGATGAAAAGGACCTAGATAAGGCAGAATTAAGATAAGAGAATTAAGATAGAACTTAGAGGGAGCAGTAGATGAATACAGAGAGAAATCAGGCACGAAGGAGCTAAAGAGAATAGAAGCTGTGTAGAGAGAAAACTGACACAGAATAATAAAGTGTATGGACTAAGGAGTTTTGTGTACATGGATTCTTTTCATCAAAGATTAATTATCAGCTGGTTGTAGATTCTTCCCGGACCCTGGGAGGGGACTATAGAGGGGCTGGACCCCCATAGTCCTCGATACTCTTTTATGTGACTCTGTACAGAA